GAATGTGCCATTACATTTCCAGAGAGATGATGTGGATGCAATTAGATGGAGCACCCGCACATTTTGATAGAACCGTGCGACGATATTTAAATAGAAGATTTCCAAACGAGGAAGAGAACTTGGAAGAGAAGGACCACAAAATTAGTCTCCTGACATATCTAGTCAAAACTTTTTTATGTGAATATGTTAAAGACTGTGTTTATAAAACTCCACTGTCAATAACATGAAAAAAAGGGCTATGGCAGCTTTTGAAATTCAAATTCAATTCAAATTTAAATGTTTTTATTAGACCCAAATTAATTACATTACATAAATTATTAATAAAAGTGTGAGTGACTAAGGGGATCGCGTCGCGATTAAATGTCCGATTCAAGAACATAAACCGATACAAAAAGATATATATTAAATTACAAAACTCAAAAAAGTGATAAGCAGGCTAAGCGAAGATAAGCAGAGAGCCAGGATGAAAACTGTAAATTTTGGAAGCCAGAACAGCAACCAAATACGGGCATATCAGAAGAACAAGAACCTCACAAATCGGCAAAGCAATTATAATTTTTGCGAATTTAATAAATAAGTTTTAATACTTTCTTTTTTAAATCTGCAAAGGATTGAAATTTAAAGTTCTTAGAAATATTATTCCACAAATGTGGCTCTATGAGACTGAAAGATTTTTGGATGTTAGCTGTTCGATGTTGAAGAATTTTAAAATAATTAAAAATTATAAAACTGAAAAGTGGATCATTTTATGTATGTATGTACAGGGTGTCCCATTTTGGTTCATATTAACATAAATAATAATAAAATTATACGGTATCTCCGTTATTAGTAAAGATAGAAGGGTGCGGTTTGCACAAAACTTTACCACTTTTTTGTTAAACGAAAGATGCTGTAAACAAAATTTTCATAACCCTCTTCTTTTCTGAGCTACAGGGTCTTCTCGATAAATTTGCAGTTTGCGGGAAAACCCCTGTATCTCCGTTATTGTTGATGATATCGAGAAGGTGAAAACTGGTACTTGTAGAAATTTTTACGTAGAATACAGTGGCGTAATGTGTTTTCCTACGAAAAAATACTTTTGAAAATATGAACTAAAGTTATGTTTTTGTCAAATAGAACAACCTGCTGTATATTTATAAATGATCGGTCTTGCTATGAGCTTCTTAAAATAAAAAATAAATTTATGGTTTGGTTTAAGATACAATGGTTATTTTAACTGCATATTAGGATATACAGATAAATTACAATTTAGGTATAAGCTTTTTATTGAAATTTAATATTTGGTCTTTCTTTAAATGTATGTCAAAAACCTTACATTTTAGTTATATGCTTCTTTAATAAAACTCTTTTTTTTTCTAGAAACCGAAAATCGATTGATATTATTGATTCCATTACAAAAAATATAACTTACAGTTGTAAAATTTCTTTTGTGGATATCCTGTAGAACTCTATATATTTTTAAAAAATCAACAAATCATTAAATATTGCACATTTAATCATAAAGAGACCTAAAGTTAATATAATAATAGTTTGTGTTTGGTGTGTGCCACTTTATGATTGAAAGTGACACACTTTTTCAATACCAACTTTCGTCTTCCTTGGAGCTTCCGCGTCGTATGAAAGACATCACCCTATACAAAAGATAAAGTAAAATAAATAAATGCATTTTTATAATGGGAACGAAAAGTTTAAAATAATTGTATAAATGTATATAAATTCACTAACTTATAAAAATAATAATGATAATATATAGCCCTATAACTGAGTACTAATCAATCGTATAACACTCCCCCTAGCACTTCAATTAAATTTCATAAAGGCCTTTAATTGACTGGCTGAATAATAGACGCTATTAATTTCAAAACCGGAATTAATCGAAAATAATATTGAGCAAAGAACAAAATAAAATCATGGCAAAAAATAGCACTCAATTCTAAATATTTTGGACAGTATTCTAAAGAAACAAAATATATAAAAAATAATATATTATAATGCAAATATCAATGTTTTTTCATATGCTAAGGTGTCTATACAACTTTTATAAATTAAAGTGTACGTCAATTATATTAACTTATCTTTCCTCTATTAATTTAATAAATTTAAGATTTCTATTTTTTCTTAATTATCGCTCTTGTTTATATATATTTAAGCCAAGTTATCATTCATAAAAGGGAGTCATACTATGTAAGTTTTATCCATATGGAAGTATTAAATTTGCACACCCAAAGCAACTAAAAGTTTGTTTTTTTGAAGCAATTTAGCCAGGCCAAACAAGAAAAACAAACTTTTAGTTGCTTTGGGTGTACAAATCTCGTATGTCTATATGATAAAACGTACATATACTAAATATACTGCCATTACTCGCTGGCGAGTATTCGACACGCATCAGAAGATGGTCACGCAAGGCGTTTTCTTTCGTGAGCTTTTCTGTGACGGAAAAGCCCGATACGTGATATTATCTGCCTACCGCACTCCGGACAGTCAAAAATCTCATTGCTTTGTTGCCTCTTTACTTTTTGGTTGTTGCTGTTAACTGCGTTTACAATTCTTCTCGAGTTCTATTGTTAGCTGCTTCTTCCCACTCATTCTGCATGTTAATTCCCTTTAACTTTTCGTGGAAAATATCCTTGTACCTTTTCAGTTGTCCACCCGGCCTCCTCTTAACGTCTAACAAGCTCACCGTAAAGCAGAGATTTTGGTATACGGTTTTATTTTTCACTGGATTCTTAAGGGTTCTCTAAGGTGTCTCTGTTGCAACTTGTTTAATGCGTTCATGTGTCGGCGGTACGGCACCCAGGTTTCGCTCCCATATAACAAGGTGGGAATTATAATTGCTCGGTACACTGCAAGTTTCGTTTATGAACTCAAGTCATGATTGTAGAAAACCCTGTCTTTTAATTTCCAGAATTCTCTTGAGGCGCTGCTAATCCTGTGCTGAATTTCTGAGTCAATATTGGCCTTTTCCGAAATCAAACTGCCGAGGTAATTGAATTCCGCCACATATTCCAATAGTTCTTCTCCGATTTTTGTAGCATTGTTGTGATCTTCCGGGGGAGTGCACATGATTTTCGTTTTGTCGATGTTTAGCTTAAGGCCCAAAGCCTCGTATGCCCAGGTATATGTGTTCAACATTTCTTGTAATTGTTGTAACGTCAGCGTATTGAAGTTCTGTGATGAATTTTGTACATGTTTTTGCCCTGGGTCTTTTTATGTTGAACAGACCGCCGTCGAATCTGTATCTAATGGCCAATCCTCTCTCCTGCAGTTTGCTGTCCACTATAATGGAGAGCGCTGCCATGAATACGTTGAATAGGAGAGGCGCTAAGACACATCCCTGCCTAACTCCTGTATTTATTAGGAAGGGATCGCCCAGTGATCCATGATGTGACACTCTTAACTTGTTGTTGTTATAGAGGCTTTTGCACACTGTAAGAAATTTGTTGGGTACTCCGAAGTTTTTTATAATTACCCAAAGCGCATCTCTGTTCACAGAGTCGAAGGCTTTGGTCAGATGGATGAATGCAACATAAAGTTTAGACTGCCGCTCTTTTACTTTTTCCTGTAGTTGGCGGATGGAAAATATGGAATCGACGGTGCCGCGGTTGGTACGAAAATCCGTTTGTGATTCTGGAAGGATTTTGTGGGTGCAAGCGGTTTGACATCATTTTTGCAAGAATTTTTCCTCCGATAGCCAATAGTGAAATTCCCCGGTAGTTTCCACAGTTTGATGCACTTCCTTTGTTCTTAAATATATTCATTATATTCGAGTCCTGAGGTACCTCTTCGCTTTCCCATATGACATCGAAGAGAGCCTTAAGATGGCCAATAAGTTCTTTACTTGCACACTTATAGATTTCCGCCGGAATCGCGTTACAGCCAGCTGATTTGTTGTTTTTAAGCTGTTTTATGGAGGCCTTTATTTCCTGCTCTGTTATTGGGATGTCTAATACATCGAGGCTGTTATACTGAAGTATTGTGTTCAGTGCTTCCATATTGGGGTTTTCTTGGTTAAGGATATGGCTGTAATGCTCTTTCCAGCGATTTCTGATTTGTTCTTCCTCTTTTAGAAGTTTGCCATGATTGGGCAGCTTACCTTCTTGTTTGACCGTATTTATTAAGTTAGTATATTTTTATTAAGTAGGTATATAGCATAGTTATGTTTCACATTTTACGCTATTATTTATGTACTCTAAGTCTAATTGATATATTATGAAAAAATTTGCCTGTTAAATTGTACAAAACACATAATCGGCAACTGTTAACTTTAACGGAACAAGATTAAATTTTATAAGTTATTGTATGAGATGTTTTTGACCAAATTATATTTAAAATTTTACCAACAAATTTTCGTCAAAGCAACATTTCGTCCCCTTAATGCGCATTCGACGTTAACTTTTGGCGAAATTATTATTTTAGGGTATGGAGGGGCATGGATAGATGCCATTTTAGGGCATCTATATAGAGGTATGGACATTATACAGGGTGGTCCGAATTGTATTCGGGAAACTTCGACAGCATATTCTGCGGATAAAAATAAGTAAAAATGTTCGTATAAATTTAAGTCCTAAAATGCTTCATTTCTGAAATGCAGGGTGTAGAAAGAAATATCATTTTTATTTAGATTTTTTTAAAATATGCCAACTTTTTCATTTTTATCTGCAGAACATGCCCAAGTTATAAAATCGGAAGAAAATTGATGCAAAAATAGGATGAATTAATTTAATATTAAAACATTTGGATTATTATTTAAAATATTTAATTTTTATAATTTATTAATTCACCATATCTAAACGGAGGATAAGTGGACGATCAATACCCTAAAAATTATTTTTTGCGGAAAGTGGCAGACTGATTTTCAATTACGGGACAATTTATGATAAGAAACTATAATAATGTATTATATTATTTAAAATAAATTTATTACATATTATGTCCAGCCAACCAACCAAACAACAGCTGTCGGTATTATAGTCGTAATCAAAGATTTTTTTTTATTTCAGAAAAATGAAGTCATCATCGTCGAGCAACAACTGCGGAACATCTGTTTTAATCATGATCTTGTCCGTACTTGTAGTTTTTGAAATTGCTTCAACATTTGCTGCAGCATATCCCGCCAGGTAAATTATATATTTGCTTCTTAATATATTTACTTTTAATAATTGGTTGATCAATCTCAAAGATGAACGATTGCCTCTAAATGGTTATATATATTTTCAAAACCTTTTCCTTATAAACACTTATTTACCCTATGAAGCAGATGTATTGAACTAATATTAAAGAATTAAGTGTACTATTAAGTTTTATGTACGCTTGTTAATGACATGTTTGACAATGTATATTATAAATGACTTTCCTTGAAGACTTTAAATAAATTGTATGTGTCATATATACACCCATGCAATTGAAAGAAAGGCTGGGTCAATCGATGATAATTTTGGCGAGGTCAAGCACTATACAGGGTCCGGCAGTAGTACGTCGGACATCTGTAGCTCCTAGAATAAAAAAGACTTGGAAATTTTGTTTAAGTGCAAACCTAAAGTATGTGCTGGGATGTATTTCAGGAAAATATTTAAACTTCTATAGGGTGGTTCAAAAAAGTGTGAGTGGATCGGGGTGATTTTTTTTAAATGGATTGTGTGTATATTATTGCCTTTGTGGCTTCCTTTCAGATCACATTTTTCAGCCTTTCTTAAAAAATTATTAAAAATACAAGAACTGTCCTGAAATCCAAAACTATTTTAGGTATTTTATATGTACTTACTTTGCTATAGTCTGTCCAACGAGAAGATCCTTAACAGTGATTGATGTGTCTGTCATTTTAATTTCAAAGTAGTTTATTTTATTTTACAAAGAAATAAATTGGTACAACTGGAACGCATAGCAGGAAATTAATATATTTAAAATTTGACTGAGAAGTGATTACTTCAAAATATTGTGAAAAAAACTGTATAAAACTGAAAAAATGTAATCGAGTTATTTTATTTAATAAAAAACGGTATGTGTTAATAACATCATGTTATGTCGATATTTTACAGCTACTCCAGTTTTTAGTATGCGTTTAGTATGGTCCTCCTACCATATTCGAGATGCACTTATCTACGACGAGATGGTCTACGAACTTTATTGATGGTAACTTTATTGGTGTATAAGACTTTCTGCCTGAGCAGCGAGTATTAACCATAAACTGTGCTCTGAGGCTACAGTTAATTTTCACTCGATTTTTCCTCCACTTTACTTCAAAAGACACAAAACACACGTAATAACACGAATCTTCCAAAACGCAGGGTATTTGACAAAAGTTGACACAAAATTATAACCTATAATTTGGCAAGACTTTGACAAGCGTCAAAAATCTAAAGGCGAGTTCATACGCATCGGCGTCCGTTTGTCGTTCATTGTTCCGTCAAAGCAATAAAATTGAAATACGATCTGTCATTTTTTAAATAAACCAATAAAACTGGTTAAAAACAACAAGAGACGACGCATGACGGATTTATTATGGATTTTTAAATCCATCCATAGTTAACTTAAAAATTATTAGAAACTTTTTTTAGTAAAATAAATAGATTGGTATGGGACGTCATCTGCTTTTCTTCTGTCATCGTCTGTCGAAATCTTACCTGAGAAAAAAAACAGAGTATATAAATATGGTAATCGTAAATCATACATGTTGTTTAAAATTCTACGCCAAACTTTCTAAAATATAAAATAAATTTTCTTCGTTTTTTTTTTAAATGGGACACCCTGTATATTATTTTTCAATAGATGGAGAATTAAAAAATAAACATTTTTTGCAAAATGTTTAACGTTTTCGCAGATATTTGCAGTTTTATATTTCATATGGCACTTTTCACAGTAAATTTTTATCAAACCGCCATCGCCACCCAATGATTTTTCTCTGGTATTTTACCGTTGAAAGATCCATAATATGAAATAATACTACGTGTATCTGCGAAACCATTAAAAAATAGAATTCCATTAGAAATTCTTTAAATACAACAAATATTAATTTTTTAATTCTCCATCTAATAAAAAACTAATATACAGGGTTAAAAAAAACAAAGAAAAATTATCTTATATTTTATTAAGTTTGGCGTAGAATTGAACACCCTGTATGCTTTAAGATTACGATATTTATAGCAAAGGAAGTATAGACCATCTAAAGTAAGTAACCTAATACAGTTTTGATTTCAGAACAGTTCTTGTACCGTATGAAGATCGAAAAAGATCGCTGTCATTTTATATGTAAAATTATATAGGGAATGTCATTGATATTCATTTTGATCAGTGTTTTTTTTCGATGATACGGTAATTGTAATAATTTTTTTAAGAAAGGTTGAAAACATATTTTTTTTTAATTTCTTTACTAATGCCTCTGAAAGTATCAAAATATATTTACTAATATCTTAGAATTATGTCAAGTGGCCAGAAAGGAAGCTAAAAATGCAATAATATACAAGGTGTTTTAATTAAAAAAATCATCCCAGTACACTCGCACTTTTTTGAGCCACCCTATAGAAGTTTATACAATAAATGATTATACAAATATTTTCTTGAAATACATCCTCGTACATACTTAGGTTTGCCCGACGCACTATTGCCGGACCCTGTATATACTCAAGTTATTACTTGGCCCTTGTAGAGTGGGAGGGGGAGTAATTTCCGCGACCTTATAGATCTATTGTGACCCCCTTTCTTGAGTTATAACTACAGTCTATAACTCATCATACATTTTTTACATCAGAGATTTTTCTGTTGTAGGGGGAACAGGGTATTTCCCTTCCTCCTCTGACAACAGATCTTCTTCCTCCGAAGAGTGCACATCTACCCCATTTGGCCCTTCCTGCCCTTCACAGTCGAGCAACTTGTGTACGGCTGAGGTACCCGTGAGGTGGTGGCTGGAGGATCTATCTCAATTTTCTCCACCCCTTTAACTTAGTCTCTTCTTAGACCTCATACCGATGTTGGCCCGAATCTATAACAGAGGATATATCTCTCTTTCTCTATTGCTTCCTTCGATTTGAGGTCAATTCCTATTGTGAGGACCTGAGCACGGCCTCCCTCGAGCTGATGACTCGCCAACTCGACGTCCTTACACTGGAGTTCTGGCAAACCTGGTAAAACGTCCCTGCTTGTCAACCGGTGTTGGATGGCTTTCTATTCAGGCTTTTTCTCCCCTTATCATAGCAGAGGTAAAAGGTTCTCGCTCTCTTTCTTTCTCTCTCTTGTTCTTTGGTGGAGAAACGCCAGGCTGGTTCTTGGTTTCTTTACTCTCCCCTTTTTCGAGGAGGTCTTTTCGCTTTTACTACCACTAGAGCAAATCCTTCGTGGAGCAGTTGGAGGTATCCCCGTACTTCTGCTCCGTTGAGATCAACTCTCAGTAGGTCGTCTAGCCCGCCTGGTTGACCCAGGCCGGATAAAGGAAACAGTAGCTTGTGTGGCCTGTTGGGTCTAGAAGTAGGCTCCTGACCCTTACTAGAGGTGGTGGTAATTTGTGGTCGCACAAGTGTCAGCTGTTTCTCCTGTAGTTCTCCTTGGAACTCGCACTGTTAATGTTTTCAATGTTGTCAGGGGGTTTCCTTCCAGCTTTACCACAAGGGTTAGTCGATCCACTTCTACAGAGCCCCGGATATAGAGAGGCGAGAATACAATGGGGTGCCCCCTGATACCCCAGGGTTGAGACCAGTAGAGGCTATTCTTCTATCATCCCTTTGACCTGATCCCGCCATCGTAGGATTTAGGTTTTTGGTGAGGTTATCTTCTCTTGGTCCGGGCGGTTAAGCCAAGACCCCGCCGAACCATCTACCTGTGATACATGTCCACAGACAGTAGAGGGTGCCTGCTATGACGGACAGAGTAGACACATCCGGCATCGTTATAGGTGGTGCAATTCCCTGGCCACGACACTACAGCCAGGGACAAGACAGTGAGAGCTTCTGAGAACCAGCCAAAGCTAGCCCCCAGCACTCTAGCACCTGACTAAAAGCTTCCCCACCAACGACAGAGTCGCACATCTACTAGAGGAAGTACTCTGCTAGAGGAAGACTCTTCTTTATTTTTTAATAGCACTTACTGCCAGTTGGTCTTAAGAAGATTGTAATTTGTTTTTATATTAAGTAAAAATTATTTTTAAATGGTGTAGTTTAAAATTCGAGAAATAATATTTTTTTTTGCAAATAGCTTTATGTGTCTTCAAACATTCCATCTTTATTTAATCTTTCCATAATTAGTGTTAATTTTTGACAAGTTTTATATAGTTTTTAGTAAATGATGCCTAGAGATTGACTCGTCAAAATTTTCATTGATTGTCATTCCCAAGCCGTCTTTGACGCCGTTTTTTTTCAATCATACGGTACTATCTAATCTGTTTTTATATAAACTTTTAATTTTCTACCGGTTTAATATTCGTCTTCACTTCTTTCCCGATAATAAATTTTAGAGTGTCAAAAATTATTCTAATATAAGTTCCTTTTATATATGTACTGATTACATAGACCTATATCACTGTTTGAATGAAAAAAATATATAAGGATATCGTTGTATGATTGTATAGACTAACCGAAGTTTAATAATAATGATTCAATATTACTTGTACATCTTCTAACATTGTATTTAAGACTGCACCGCATAATTCAAATAAATAATTTCGGAATATAAGTAAATATTTTGGTTATAACGAGGTAAATTAATTAAAATATATTCTCTAAATCAAGGTTTTATATCATGTTATTTTTACAAAAAATAAATCAAAATGAGAACTCTGTTGTCATTTCTGGCAGAACAATAGAAAAAATGAATATATCTGAAATTTGGCAAATTTTAAGAATTTCTTTTGGCTGATTATTATATATGCTATTTTCTGTCTAGACAAACAAATAATAAATCTTTAATAATTAAACACCCAAATTCTAATTATACAAGAGCAATAACTTAGAAACCAATAAACCGTGCTCTTTCTTAAATTAGCAATATTTTTACATTTAAGTATATTTGTAACTGTTTAATTAAAAAAAGCAGACTAATTCACTCTATAATTCTTATTAGTCAGTATTTTATACAGAAAAGAAGTTGCCACGGTGGAAGCAAAAGGTGGAAATTAAAATTTTCTTCTGCTACAACTGGTAACATTAAAACTAATATACTGCCTTTAAAAAAGGGAAATTACTTAATTTTTAATTAATTAAGGTATTTTCTTTTCGTATAATATTTAGCAGTTTTATAAAGCAATCCACAGATATTAAATTTAATGTAAAGATTAACATAAGATACACTTAGGTATAGACTTATAACTTAATATATAATATATATTATAACTAGCATGTACCAGCGACTTCGTTCGCATCGAATTAATCATTTCTAATGGTGATGATAAAGCAAAGCAAGAATTTCCATTGACATACAAACTTTTTTTAAATAACAAATATTGTAATATTTGAGGGGCGTTTTCACACTCTTGGAATTTGAGATTCGAGAAACCCCTCCTTATCGAAACTCTACACCCCACAGTCAATCGGTTTGCCAAAAATCAGCTTTAAACGTCAAGCAGTTTAAGGAGAATCGTGATTACTCAATGGTCATTTTTTATGAAACACCCTGTATAAATTTATAAAAAATCTTAAAATATGTAAAACAACAAAATAAAATATAAGTGTTTAAGAGTTTTTCCGAAAAACTCACCGGTTTTTAAATAAAAAATATTTTAATATTTGAGGGATAGTTTCACCCTCTTAGAATTCGAGTTTCGAAAAATCCCTTCTTATCGAACCTCTACACCCTAAAGTCAATCTGTTTTCCAAAAATCAGCTTTTTTCGTCAAGCGCTTTAAGCAGGATCGTGATTAATCAATGACCAGATTTTTCGAAACACCCTGTATACATTTTTAAAAAATCTTAAAATATGTAAAAAAACAAAATAAAATATGCATGTTTAAGCGTTTTTTCAGAAACTTGATCGTTTTTTAAATAAAAAATATTATGATATTTGAGGGGTGGTTTCACCCTCTTGGAACTGGAATTTTGGAAAATCCCTTCTTATCGAACCTCTACACCCTAGAATCAACCTATATGTCAAAATTGAGCTTCTTACATTGAGTGGTTTGAGCAGGATCGTGGTTAATCAGTATGTCAGTCACTTATGGATTTTATATATCAGTATAGATTTAATAGTAAATTTTTTATAGGACCTGAAAATTAATTCTGTTAAATCTTTGTTTGTGTACATCTTAAGTATTTTTACATCAAGTCCCTAAAATTCTCCCTCTACATATAAATACTATATGAAATGAACAAAATTCTTACAGCTTTAGTGTATATTAATAAATAATATTTTCTTGCCTTTAGCTGTGTATTTTTTCTAATTTCGAAAAATCGAAAGTAGAGAAAAAATAAAAAAAATAAAAAGTAAGAAGAAAATTGTTTTGCTTGTCGTAAAGGGGGGAACCAAGCTCCACTCCCACAGCCGGTTTCTGGGCCTACCCTTCATCAGGTGGGCTGTCCAGGGCAGTGTGGCCAGATTTCTCACGGCGTAGTCGCCACGCAGACTCCAATTTATCGCCCAAAATCGCCACTTTAAGGCGATTTCGAGCAATTTACCGTTTGGTTATGGTTGACAGATAAACATGCTTTAAACGTCAATAGTCAACCGATCGGTAGCTAAATGACATTTAAAGCATTGTTTATCTGTCAACCATAACCAGCGGTGGTTCGCTCGGCTTTAGTTTACATCCTAACCAATAGATGGTATAAGAAAAAAAAAACAATCGGTTATCTTAAATCATTCTTTATTGCTTAGCTATACTTATATGTACCGCTTTACAAAAGCTGTTCACAAAATGTTAATACATCATCAATATCGTCATCATCAGTAGAATCTTGAACATTTTCTGATAGTTTTAAGGGAGTAGTTTTATTATTATTATACATCACCTGAGAATTAAATTTAGAAAACATATCTGTCGTGGGTTCAAAAGATTTGCAACATATTTGCCTAACATAAAAATAATAACGAATTACCATTATCGAATTTAATAAATTTAGCATCATTTGATTTCTGATTTTACATTTGACCAGATTCATTATTGAGAATGTTCTTTCCACAACAGCATTGGAGGACGGCAAACTGAGAAATGTAAACGCCAATAAAGAAAAGATCTTTAAACATTAATTCGCCTGCTGCGTTTTTGCGTCACAACTTTTTCCAAAAAGTTACCGCGTCGTCTGGGATGTTTCCGTTAAATATTTCCGCCCAGTTAATATTTAGTATATTTCGGTACTGTGCCTCTAGGTCAGTCAAGGTTCCTGGATTTGCATACATTAAAGGTAGCTCTCAAATTTTTTCGTTTTTTGGTTTAAAATCAGACCTGGACTAAAGTTTCGTATTTGTAAAAATACATCTAAATGATTAGGCATTCTATTTATTAATTGTGTTAAAAGATCTTTGATAAATTGAAAACATTTTTCTTTATACCTATTATTTCTTCAGAATTTAGTTGGGCTGCATCTATTTCTTGCTCAAAATAATAACCAAGATCACAAGAGTCTAGGTCTAAAAATTTTGATCGTATTTCATTGCATTACTTAAAAGCTCCAGATTCTTATCAAGATGAATAATTATCAGTGGCTTAATAATTTGTCCTGCTAATGACCATATTGTTGTAATTACGTCCTCAAATGCTTTATAGAAATCCACATTTGCACTTTGAAAATATAAATTAAGATAGTATATCTGCTTTAATATTGGACATAAAAAGTTAAATAAACCTTGTTAGTTTTATTTTTATAAGCATTACTCAATAATTGTGCACTGTGACATCTTTCTTTATTAGCGTTTATTGTAAAAAATGTTTCTAGTTCTAAATATTGGGCTAAAATTTTCTCCACTGCTCGGTATCTCGACAACCAACGTGTACCAGATAATTTTGTCATCTTAGTAAATTTGCTATCATTGTTTATTAAACTAAATATTTCTTTATATTTACTTTGTCTTAGAGTGCTATTTTGAAACCAATTATAAGTTTCTTTAAGTAAGAAATCAATTTCATCAACAAATATTTCCGAGGCCTTTGAAGCACAGAGATGTAGGCTATGACATATACATTTTACAAGTACTAAATTATTTAGCTCAAATTTAGTTTTTAAAAGGGTAAAAAGAGAATGATTTTTTCCACATAAATTAGATCCCCCATCTGTACCTAGTCCTATCAGATTTTTAGAGGCAATTTAATTGATTCAAAAAATTCACATACTTTTTCAAACAAAACCTGAGCAGTAGCTTCAACTACACTAATAAATGATAAAAAATTGTGTAACAACATCATTTCTTTTTTGAGAATAATACTTTATCATTATGGCTAATAATTTGTTGGTGGACACATCCGTCGACTCATCTAAAATAATAGAAAATGGAGAAGTACCTACGTCTTCAATTAATTCATTCAGTAAGGATGGAGCTATCACATTCTTGATTATGGCTGAACATTTTGTCCTGTGAAGATGTAACTCTCGTGGTGGTTGAGATCGAAACGATGTTGTCTGTTCGTTATCATTAAAGCTGTTAATGATGTCTGTCAGGTGGTCGACACTTCGAATAGTTGTGTGAGTAGCTACGTAACAAGCCAATATTATTTCTTTTTTTAATGGAATTATTTGCTACAGATATACCTAAAAGTAAAAATTAATGTAACTAAAAAAATAAAAAACATACACTGCAGAAAGTTATTAACATACCAAAACTTGGAAGGGGTAATTGACGTTTATCCACCTTACAGGCTTGCTGTTTGTGTTTAGAGGTATTTGCATGCTTTTCTAGATCAGATTTGTGGGACCTCAATCCAGTTTCACACACTTTGCAATAGCTGGAAACATCTGAATTGGGGTTGGGATTAGATGTGAGCCAAGCTACAATAACAACAATTTTCTATTTCTACCAACCATAACCAAACCAACCAGTAATCAACGCGCCAATAACCAATAATAATTAAAACAACCGTCCCATGGGGGTAACATCATGTCTACTTTCTAAATAGCAAGATAACACCAAAATGCAATAAGTAAGGTTAGAAAATAAAATTTTTAAATTACGTTTCCATAAAACCCTGCTTAAACATGAATAAAAATGTTATAAGTTATGTTATGTAGGTAATAATACAAATCCATGATATTCTACCAAAGTCTAACCCAAACGACCACAGAAACAGGATATGGGTTTTTACTTTTACGGGAAATGTTGTTTTTACTTGGTACTTACCTTTAAACAAGGCTTCACGTTCCCATTCCTTCTTGTGTTTTTTTTCATATTTCGCCCATTTACCCATAGTCTAAATGCGACAGGCGACACAAATGCAAATATATTATAGTATAAATCACAGGTATAAATCTCTGGTATAAATAAGATTAACAGAACACGGAACGCCTAAAGTCCCTAGATATATAAAGTACCGCAATTGGTTTGTTCAATGTTATTGGCGCCAAAATGGCGGATTTTTGGGGTATTTCAGGAAAAACTGTAGTGGTAGGACTGTTTAATTGTCACATTTGTCTGAATTTGTCATGTCAAATGTTGAGAAGCTGTCATTTTCAGAATAAAAATATTTATCCACATATTTTAAAATAATTATAAAGCCACTAAAATGCTACAAATTTGTTAGTTAATAATGTATAGGCGTCGATATCTTTAGTGAAGAAATGTGTATTACAAGAAAAAGGCCGTCATTTTATGTGTTTCTAACATCGTCGATATTCAATACACGTTAGGTAGTGGATTGAATTTATTTATGTTCCAGTGAATATTTTTAACAATCTTATTTGTAGTATATCCTATTGGTACATAAAACTTCATTATAGAACAAGACAAGACCTTAATAGATCTGAGAAGGTCGCAGTGGGTCAGGCCGAGATCCACCTCTAGAAAGCTAATCTAGAACAAGACAAAGACCTTACTTGCAAACTACCATACATATCTTTTAAAAAGGATGCTAAGTGTAAGTGAAATCTCTACGTAATCATTCCCTAAAATGTTTAGTGTAGTTTAGTTTTCAACATTTTGCAGTAAGAAGTTTAGATAAATCTACAATATATTATCATCAGACCAAAGGAAGGATAATTATTTAAAAAGAATATGTTATGTTATGATACATATATAGATTTGGATGATATCGCTTCAGGTGGTTTTACCAACTAACAAGGACTAACACGGATATTAATCAAAACAATGAAAAAAGCTCAAATAAATTTGATCCTAACAAGAATGTTGTTTATGCATATGCTGACTATATAGTTATTTTCATGGACTTAAATAGATTAGTTTTATGTATTTATTGATAGTAATTAATATTTTTTGGTTCATATTGTAATTACTAATAAAAAGTAAACAATATAATATAAGCATGTAAAGTTATATTTAAAAATTTGGTCTTATACTGTCAGTTACAAATATAAAAATGTGATTCAATGTTATTTCAATGTTAAATTTATAGCAGTATAATTTTGTATAATAATGATACTTAAACATTATGACACTTGTTTTAAAAAATATAACATTAAATTGCAGAGCAAAATATATTTTAATTGTATTATGTGGTATTAACTTGCTTTTATTCAACTAATAATAAATTTGTTGTATAAAAATCACTCCATAACATACAAACCTTAATTATACAGCATACATAAAAGAGCTCCTATGCGTTTCAAGCTTCTTTCTAAGTTATTTTTTAAATTAAGTGCACAATTACATACCTAAAATGCCAAAACTACCTGAAGTAATACCAATTAAAACAACTTTCTATCAATATATTAATATATTTCAAAAATAGCAGGTATGTATCATATCAATTTAATTATTACATTTATTTGTTTCAACCATGGTTCAAAATTTTCTCGTATAAAAGCCGGCCTTCAAATTTAAGTTTGTAGCTTATTCATAGTTCCAAAGACTTTCGTTAAATCATGCTTATTTGTCAAAACTAACTACAGCATAACTGGTATAATAGGGAAAGTTTACTTATGGTATAGGTATCCCGTTCTCATCAACAAACAAAGTTTTTCCAATTGTTTCGACTGAATTAAGTACTAAAATTCTAAATGTTATTCCAACTTTATTTCTTCTTACCTATTAACTTACTTCTGTTGGCGTACTTTGCGCTAAAAGGTAACATAAAATAAATGCTAATACAAATGAAAAACACTTGTACGGAAACCATTCGTTTATAACCTCTTAACATATATAGGCCTAAAAAATTAAATTTATGAAATTGAATATTAATATACCACCTGATATTACGTTAAAATGAAGGTAAACTGTAGATAATAAACGTAATTCTATTACAATTAATAAATATTTTATTTTACGGCTTGCCTGTCAATGTTGGTCGGCCATATTGGCGCCGGACCGACCAGCTGCTTAAAAAGCCGAAACAGCGAAATGTTGGCCTCCTTTTTAAATTTGCCGCTAGTTTTGGCGCCAATATGGCGGTAATTGCGGTACTTTATATATCTAGGGACTTTAGGAACGCCCTGAACGCAGCGCCAGTTTAGTGTCAGAACAGGGTGCGGAGAAACCAGAGATATTGGGAGAAACTAAACTTCTTCTTCTTTTGAGTTGTAATGGCCTATTAATATACACTTTACGATATTACGATTCGGACAGATAATGATCAGCCGACATTTTTGATTTCGCTTAGTCGCACAATTGATTTTGGAAATCGCCCAATTTGCGACTTGCGATTTTTGCTAAAAAATGGTCGCCAAATTTTGAAAAAAGTAGCCCAAATTGCGACAAATCGCCCAATCTGGCCACACTGGTCCAGGGGCTGGTTCTCACCGATACGGCAAGCAAAACTTCTTCTATATCAACAGACGATGTCGTAAAGTGTCGGTGAGATATTAGTGCATCTCCCGTCAAAAGATGGTAAAGAGCGTTTTTCGGCCCGCTCAACCAAAACAATTTTCTTCTTACTTTTTTTTTATTTTTTTTCTATTTTTTTATTTTTTCTCTACTTTCGATTTTTCGAAATTAGAAAAAATACACAGCTAAAGGCAAGAAAATATTATTTATTAATCATATAAATACTTTTATATTCTTTTAATTAAAACAATTTAATTATTGACGTTTCGCCAATTTATTTTTGGCATCTTCAGAAATATTTATTTACGCTATTTCTATGGTAAAAGTCATTAAATCCTTATATTAAAAAACAAAACACTTATAAACTAATACATACAGTAAAATAAGTACGCACCTACATCGTATTTTAAAGAAATTGCGACTACAAAAAAAATACTATATATTACAAAAAAGGTTCAAAATCATCATCAACTTTTTTATTAGTTAACAAAACATCTGCAATGTTTAGTTTTAATTAAATAAGATTTAAGATTAAAGATTTAGTTACCACTTACCACTAAATTATTTATTAAAATAATTTTTCCATTTTTTAACAGCCGCCATTTTATATTGCCATTCGTTTAGTTTATGTATTTACTTTTTCTACTTTATAAAAGCGAATATAGAAGAATATGTAACAGTATGATAATACTTATTAAACTTGTTTAAAATATACACCGGATTATTAAAGAGTACTAAAAATATTTCAAATTTGATACAAGAATCTGTTTAGAAACTAAAATGTAGGTCAAGTAGGTCGAGCGCTATGACGTAGTAGTGCCTCACCACAAGGAAACCAATCTATCGGCATTCCAAGCGTAGACACTTGAGGTATTTGAAATAAGCCCCGGTATTGTCGATACACTACTTTACACATATTGGCATAGCGTTCAAACATCTCGTTAAAATATAACAAGTTTAGTAGATTATTCTCCGTATGCAATCAAAAATATTTATTGTTGCAATATTATATAAATATATTTATATGTTATAAAAGCAATATGTTATAAATATTTATATGTTGCAGAATGATATTTTAGTTCATCATATTATATTTAAAACGTATTAATACATTATTATCTAATCAGTTTAGCAGTCGTACGATAAGGTTGTGTTACCGTTCGTGCGTTTTGTCTGCCGGTTATTGAACGTTTGTTTTGTTTTGATTTGACTTGTTTTTGATTTGTTTTTGTTCCTGACCCGAAATCAACTCAAAATTCACTGTTCGTTTAAACTTGACTTTGTTTACTTTTGTTAGTTTTTTGCAACCTTAATTGATAATTTTTCGGCGTACTTGTTTCCGCTGTGCGTGAGTTTTAGCTTGTTTATACTTCCGAATTTTATTCAGCTGTCATCGACTTTTATTAATATTATTAATCATTTACATTATTATGGCTGAATTTAAGTGCGATTCTTGTCAAAAAATACAAAAGGACAGTTATAAGGTTCGCTGTAGTGGAGAGTGTCGAAGAAATTTTTGTATGACCTGTACAGGACTGGATAAGGCAACAACAAAGGTGCTATGTCAAGAAAAGTACCACAATGTTGATTTTTTTATGATGATTTTTCTGCACTGTCTGCGATTCCCCTACATTAAAATATGTTCATGATAGAATTACACAGCTTCAAGAATGCCAGGTCCAACCAGAAATCATCGAAGCACTAGGATTCTGTTTAAAAAAAATATGGACATTTTTCCAGTCATAACTGAAATGTATGACATGCTGAGTGACCACGATTCCAAGTGGAAAATTTTACTCAAGAAAATTGATGACATATCCAGGATATCAGATACCACACAAGAATCCTTATTTAAGTCAATAAATGAGAAAGCTAAATCTAAAGCAAGACACCTTCAATTTATCATCAATTTTAATGGACAACCATGATGGGTCTGTTAAAGTCCAAGTTCATGACCCATCTAAGGAAGAAATGGCGAAGGAAATGGCTGATCTTAGGCAGAGCGTTAAACAAATGTCGCTCACATTGGAAAAGCTTGTTACAAGGGATAAGACCTGTACAAATCATAATATGCAGCGGAAAAAATCCATTTCAACGCAGACGGGCCCTATAGATCACCAAAATAGTACAGCTTTTATAGATTTGCCAAAAAAAATAGTTTCACCCGAAATAGTGTCATCGCAACCTTCTAAGGCCGCCATAAGAGAAGACTGGAATTATGTGGTGGTGTCCAGAATTCCACCTCCTTACACAGCGAATCAACTTGCGCACTATATTAAAGAATAACTAGGAACCACCGATTTCATCAGATGCTTTCCAATGCTGAAAAATAAGGACAGTTCCTATTCCGATTTCAAAATTGGAGTGCAAAAGAGGTGTCACTTAGTGCAGCTTAAGGACATAAATATGTGGCCGCCGGGAACCATAATAGATTCAACCTCAACATCCTTAAAGCAAGCTTCGTTAACTTCTTCGGCTGAACCTGCTCAAAATCTCAAAATAAACATCATTGAGAACCGCAAGCTAACTCACCTACTTGACCCACCACTGGCAACTATTCCAAGGGACGTAAGAACTATTAAGATTGGTTCTGACAGGGAAGCTATAGCTGCTTGCAAGTCCCTGGCGATGGAAAATCCAGAAATTATTGTGCAGGGAACTACGAAGAGAGATGGTTTGGTAGTTATGGACCTGATGACTCCACCTATAGTACGGCTGTCTCAGGACTCAGATGCGGTAAATGGACGTTACGTGTTGGCCAGTTTGAGGGACTCCTCCATTTTGAAATCTCTTTGGCTATCCCTTGCCTATCTTCACGACCAACCATCCAGTGTGTGTTTTGAAGGTCACTCTAGTACCAGCATCAAATTGATGCTTGCATCAGAAGGGCTACCTAGTGACCTGGACTCCTTGCGTAAGTTGTACTACCGCTTCCACAACGCCTATGGTATTGGTTCAAGTGAAGTTGATGCAGATCTTTCAGCTTTCAGGTCATTGTTTTCTGCGGAGACCCTTCTACGGCTTCAAAAGATTAAGGAAAGTCATGGCAAATATTATTCCAGTGGCTCCCCAAAATAAGAGTAAAAATTTTTAGTTGAATTGACGCGAACAGAGGATCAAGCACCCTCTGAAAAATTAAGCGATAGCAAGCTTGGTCTATTCCTTATTAATATTCAGTCCTTAATACATAAAAGAGATGAATTATATCTTTTACTAGAAGAACTTGAATTTCCAGATATCATGGCCATAACTGAGCACTGGTTAAATTTTGATGAGCCTGTATTTGTTAAAAATTATACCACAGTGGCCAGATTTAATAGAACAAAATTTTCTCATGGAGGTACTATGATAATGTCTTTAAACAACGACTTTTCCGAGGTAACTAGGTACAATGATTTGTTATCTGAAAAAGTATTCGAATTTTCCATTGTCCGCCATAATGCTTATGACCTTTACATTATTTGTATTTATAGAACACCTGACTCTGACGTGCAATTATTCTGTCATAATCTACTAAGCTTGCTTGAGTCCCTGCCCTTAAAAAGCAAATTAATTTTGTGTGGTTATCTTAATATTGACTTTCTTAGTGTATGTGTGTATTTTTTCAGAAAATAATGCTCAAAAGTTCAGCCACTTATGTAAAACAACCAACTGGGATACTAGCTCTTATGATGTCGACACCGAATTTTCTATTTTCGTAAAAACATTAATCAGTCTAGCGTTCAAATCCTTTCCTCTTAGGCCTATAAAAAATAAGCATAATCAACCTTGGACCACTAAAGGTCTACGCATATCTTCTAAAAACATGCGTTTATTATCTCACTTAAAAAAATTCTCAGACAGTCTCTTCTTCCACATTTACGTAAAACTATACAGAAAAATTTATCATAAGACTATAAGAGCCGCTAAGGACCTTTATTATAATAGGAGAATTCTGGTAATGTTGCTAAAGAAACATGGTCTATTGTGAATGAGTTGAGAAACAAAGCTTCTTCGTCTAGCAATATCTCTACCTCACCTGAGAACCTTAACGATTACTTTGTAAATGTAGCGAAAAACTTAACTAATACCATATGTCCTCCTCATAATCCACTTTCTTATCTCTCTAATGATATTGTAAACTTACACAGTTTCTTTTTTTCGCCCGTAGTTTTAGAAGAGCTTCGCAGTACAATTAATACCATCAAAAATAAATCCTCTTCTGGGACCGACGGGCTAACTTTAAAAATGTTTTCGAATCTGCCAGAAAGCACTCTGAATCACCTAACAACTTTAATAAACATGTCGTTCCAAAATGGTATTTTTTCAAAATGTCTTAAGACGGCAATAATCATTCCTCTGCATAAAGGAGGAGACAAAGATGAAGCTTCTAGCTATCGCCCAATTGCACTCCTTCCAACGCTATCTATGATCATAGAAAGATTGGTTAAAAGAAGGCTGGTATATTTTCTGTTTAAGTACAAAATACTTACTGAATATCAATTTGGATTTCTAAGCAACAAGTCCACAAATGACGCTATGTTTTTCCTCCTTAATAAAGTTTACTCCAGCCTAAACAACCATCATTCTACAGCAACAATTTTCTGTGATTTTTCTAAGGCGTTCGATTGTGTAAATCATAAGATCTTAATTAATAAACTGCAGCACTATGGGTTCAGGGGATCATCTCTCGAATGGTTTAAGTCGTATCTGAGCAACAGAAGTCAACTTGTGAGGGTGTACCACGTTGTCTTCTAGCAAGCCAATAGAATGTGGAGTACCACAAGGCTCCGTACTAGGCCCTATTTTGTTTCTTCTTTTTATTAACGACATTGCTAACATAAACATCAGTGGCAAAATATGTCTTTTTGCGGACGGCACTAGCTTCACTTGGAGCAACAAGGACATCACGGCACTTCATAGGATTATATCAAATGACTTAATCACCATTAAATCTTGGTGCGATTCGAACCTCCTGAGTCTCAACATTTTTAAAACTAAAGCTTTGTCATATAAAAACTCGTTGCAGCCTTTTGTGCTTAACAACACCACCATTGACGTCGTCAAATCTGTAAAACTCTTAGGGCTTGTTGTGGACAATTTTCTGAAATGGGACATACATATCGAAGCTTTGTCGAAAAAATTGAGCTCTGCCTGTTTTGCATTAAGGTCTGTTTCTAAGGAGCTTAACTTGTCAGTGGCTAGAACTGTTTATTGTGCACTTTTTGAGTCGTACCTCAGGTATGCCCTTCCATTCTGGGGTACGTGTTGTGCGACTCAATTTGACCGCATTTTCAGGCTCCAGAAGAGAGCTGTTCGATATTCACTGGGACTAAACAACAGAACTCATTGCCGGGACTTTTTTAAAAAATTAAAAATATTGACTCTTCCTTCCTTATTTATATTTGAATCCGTCTTCCAGAGTTAGTTAAAAAGTTCAATATTATACAACTCGAAAAAAATGCACAATCACCTGCCATTTGAAATCAAATCCATAACATCATTTTTTTCATTTCGCAAAGCATTGAACTCTTACTTTCTAGACAAGGCTTTCTACGCCGTAAATGAATTATATTTTGAAAATCAAATTTGATCTTGTAAACACTGGTCTAATGTTTGCTATTGCTATATTTACTATCGAAATGAATTTATTTAGAGGTCATTGATATTTTACTATAAACTAGCTAAATATTTTTGAATATTATTTTTATTTTTCTGTTCTTTGACATTATAAACATTTATAAATGTTTATTTTAACAATAAGACTGACAATATTATTTGTATAATGTTTTGTATTATCTTTTGTTTGTTTGCCTGTGTACCTTGTTTTTTTACTTTGTTTGTTAGTTTACCTTTGTCTACAAATTGAAAATTTTTTTGACAATAAAGGCATTTATTTATTTATTTATATTTATAATCTACCGGGTGCGTCTCAAAAGTGGCTTACCCTATAACTTTTTTTAGTTTTTTAGATAAAAAAACGAGATTTGGTATGTTAGTGTATGACATAAATTAGGATTGATTGACGTATTCAATTGTTCTCGATCACTTCCTGTTTCACCGGAAATGACTACAACTTTTGATTTTTAAATGGCACCCTCGGTATTTTTTTACTTTATTCGATAGAAAATGACACTCTGAATAAACATATCGTTGACATATCATATGTCAACTTTTGACATATTCGCTCAAAAACAAATTATATTTTAAATTTTAATCCATGGCTGTGTTAAAAACCTTGGAAAAATAGATTTGATCGTCTAATGTTGTTAGTGTCTTGTCCTGGCCAGTTAAAAGGTGCCCAAATCGTATTTTTAATCATATTTCGATTTTTTCAAATAGAACGAGGGTGGCTCATTAGCATATTTGGAAAAAGCATTTTTTTACTAATAATTTGATACCACACACTTGATATTTGAGTCAAATTTTCGTTATGAACCGCAAGTTACAATTTCAAATAAACCATATGCGAAAATGTCAAAAGTTGACATATGATAGGTCATTCTATTCAGAGTGTCATTTTCTATCGAATAAAGTAAAAAAATGCCGAGGGTGCCATTTAAAAATAAAAAGTTGTAGTCATTTCCGGTAAAACCGGAAGAGACCGAAAACAATTGAATATATCAATCAATCCTAATTTATGTCATATATTAACATACCAAATCTAGTTTTATCTGAAAAAATAAAAAAGTTATAGAGGTGAGCCACTTTTGAAACCCCACCCGGTATAAAAATATCGGAAATATCTTTTTTTAAAGTATTTTTAGTATAATTTGTAAATATATGATTTCTCGATGCACACAAAAATAACATAAACTAGAGCGCATCAGCGATCAATCATTATCATCACAAGTACGGAAAAAGTATGAAAAGATTATGAGAAATTTAGTAATTTTGATTGAACTACATACACCGCTACATTAGTGGTCAATTTCTAATAGTTATAAATGAGTAGGTTTGAAAGGCAGCATCTATCTCAAAATGATATTTAAGGTTAATTATTAATTATTTAAGGTTTTAATTACCGTAAAATGGGGTGAATAGAAACATAGTGGTGAATAGAAACAAAATTTCTGAAAAAAATCAAATCACGATTAAAAATATTCAAAGTAAAAAGAGTCGACATATCTAATTTTTCTATCATTGGTAATACACAATAAAATGTAAAAACTATATTTTTATCTGTGGCAGCACTGTTTCTGTCAATCAGCTGATCAATAAATGTGAGATCGATTTATCACCTATTTTGTATGGCGCGAAAACTTTATAAATAAAATATTTATTTTTAAAGTAATACATAAGCTGGTACATGTAAGTTGTCATATTATATGTATTGTTATTTATTGTTAAACCTACTTAAATATGTAATAATTTACTGTTTCTAATCACCTTGTTGGAAGTAGAATAGATAAAAACCTAAACATCAATGTGTGTTTCTATTCTCCCCAATAGCAGGTGAATAGAAACACAAATGTTATTTTTATTTAATATTTATATGCATATTTTTCAAAAATCAAATTATATGTATACGCAAAGAACAAACAAAGACCCATGTTTCAAAATATTCGGGAAAATAATACCACATTTTTATCAACCGGTATATCGCTAATAGCCTACGAAACTGTTTCTATTCACCCCATTTTACGGTATCTAGTATACTAAATTATATCTCGAAAAGCAGAAATAATAATATTTTACTGTCAATATTAGATAAAGTTACTTCTTTATAGTATAGTAATTAAATTCTATTTAATAGTTCGTCATTTACAGTGTAAAATGTTATTTTCAGTTATTCTGGATACTACTCACCGATTGGTTTCGAAGAACAGAACCCTAACTACATAAATCTACAGCAAGCGATTGCCAGACTTAGACAAGCTTTTATTGAAAACAACGACTTAGAAAAGTAAGTATTTATCAGTAAAAATCTACCTTGATGTTAAAATTGTTTAAAACCTGTTTTTGTGTATATTTGTAGGTTGTTCACCCTATATGTGTGTACTTGTGTAATTCGTATATTAAATTTCACCTTTTAGTGATAACATTTTTTTAGCAGCTAATTGTATATGTTTTAAACACACTATAAATATATATTATTATAGACTATAAAAATAAAGTTTTTGAAACAAAAACCATTTGTACAAACAACACCAAATTTGTTTACAACAATTATCCAGAATATGTTCTAGAAGATACGCCAAAAGAATAAAAAAAAGAAAAAAAATATATAAAATAAGTTAATAAAAAGTAAAATAAATGAGAGAGTAAGAATATGTTTGGGTATAAAGCGTTTATGATAATACTTTTGTTTAAATTTTAATTCTTTAAAATTGATTATAATAAAATAAATGCTATAAATATAAATATACAATACGCCTAAATATTATATTTTCAAAATATATTGAATTTACTAGGATTTTTCTCACAAACCTGTAACATTTTAATGAATTCGCCAATATTTTTTCAAGGAAATTATATTTTAATATTCTGTCCGGCATAGCATTTAACGCCTTTTGTGTAATACTAGAGACATCGCTGCGTAGTTTAGAAAGTTGGCAATAGTATCCATATCTTACCTTAAATAAATCTATCTTACATTATACGTCCCTTTATATGTGTTTAGATTAATTCACACTTGATTAAAATTAAAAAGACCTATAATCACTGAATGGGATTGAAACAAAAGTAATCAAAGCTCGCGTGAAACTTCATGTCAACTGGTTCGAAAGTTACCGGTAGCGGCTAGATGCTTGACTTTTAATAATAACTATTTTCCAAGATTGCTTCATCGACGTATCCGTAGATGGAGCTGAAAGCAAAGTAAGATTCTATATAAAGTAAAATACAGAGAACCTAAAAGGTCTTAATCCCTGAAACTGTGCGAATTTGTACATTAAGTTCACCAGACCAAAGGAAACAACCATCTTACGACCACTTTTGGGTATTTATTCCCACCATCAGGCTGACTTGTAACCGATGACTGTGAAGCCTCACCGATGACTGAAGAACTTTTACTAGCGATAATTCGTAAAACACAAGGTATATTGGCAATATAGTCAATGAATGCATGACTTCTTGATCACTAAAAATTCGAATTTTTACTTTATCTATATTTATTTATTATATTTTTTATTTTTATTTATATATAACTTTAGAGTTACAGACGTCAAATTTACAAAGGTTCAGAAGTGAAGGAGTGAAACCGGGGGGGGGGTCACTTCGAGAAAAGTATGGTACGCCTGTTCTCGACTTTTTCAGGGCCACTAGCCTGATTTAAAGTTATGAACTGACTCACAGACACCCATCTGTATGACTCCCTCATGTGCCCGAGTGTGCTCGCTTTTTATTTCAAAAGTTAGTTAAACGAGCGGCTCATTGCTCAACATGATGATCCACTTATTTCATTATATCTTATTGTTACGGATTCCGTGGGTCCACTATTTAAACTCACGATAAAATACTTAACGAATTTATTTTTCTCACTTTATACACAATTACTAACTTATAACACACAACAAACTAACTATTTATAAGATTCCTTCACCAAATTGTCCGATTTTCAATTTCCACGCGGTATATCGTAATTTCAAAAACTCTCTCAGTTGTCGATGGCTCCGGCTTATATACTCTATTGACTGCTTCTCGAAATTTCCCCAATTCTCGGAAAGCGTACTTCTTCATACCAGACAATTCTATTGTCTGATTCCCTTACTTCTCGACTTGACTAAAAGATGGCGCCTGAAAAAGTCTTTTAATTTCTGGCGGATACGTTGCGGTTGTGCAGGCAACCAGTAATACATTTTTAATTTCTGGCGGATGCGCCATTTTTCTTGACATTGCCCCCTTCTCAAATTTGATCGTCCCGATCAAGGTTTCCTGTCTGGTATCTCTCAATCGATCCAGATGAACTACTTTCATCTTACTTCTAGGGCTGCGTTGAATCCGGTACACAACATCATTTATCCTCTTGATGACTGTATAAGGACCTTCCCATGCTGGAGTTAACTTTGGGGACCTCCCTTTCTTGCGCTGTGGGTTATATAACCATACCATATCGTCCTGTTGAAATCCCGTAGAATTAGCTCTGAGGTCGTAACGAGCTTTCATCCGGTCACTGGCTAGCGTAATCTTACTTCTCACGGCCTTATGAATTCCCAATAACCTTTCCTTCAGTTCATCCGCGTAGTCCTCTACGTTCGTGGTGCTGTCGTCTGGTGATCCGAACACCAAGTCACAAGGCAACCGTAATTCTCGACCAAATAAAATCTTCGATGGTGAAAGTCCGGTGGTGTTGTGAACTGCACTTCTATATGCCATTAGGAATAGTGGTATATGCTGATCCCAATCTCTTTGATGTTCATCCACCATTTTCGAGAGATGTTCTTCAATGGTCTTATTGAATCTCTCGACCATCCCATCAGACTGCGGATGTAAAGCTGTTGTCCTAGTCTTGTGAATACCAAGCAGATCACACATCTTCTGGAACAGTCTTGACTCGAAGTTCCTTCCTTGGTCAGTGTGAAGCTCTAAAGGAATTCCAAATCTACTGAAGACATTATGACTAATACTTCAGCTACAGTCGATGCTTCTTGGTTTGGAATGGCAAAAACTTCTGGCCATTTACTGAAATAATCCATCGCCACTAAAACGTACTTGTTGCCCTTGTGCGTTTCAGGGAATGGGCCTGCAATGTCAACAGCGATTCTTTCGAATGGCAGTCCAACGTTATATTGTTTCATTTTTCCCCTAGATCGAGTGCTTGGTCCTTGGCTGGCTGCACAAATTTTACATTGTCGACACCATTTCTTGACATCTTCGCAATAATCCACCCAGTAAAAGCGATCTCTCAGCTTGCTCAAGGTCTTGTTTACCCCAAGATGGGCTCCAGTTTTACCACCGTGAATTTCTTCCAATACCTGGGTAACTTTCTTCCTTGGTACCAGTAACTGAGTTGTTACTGTGCTGCCATCCGCACTTTCCCATGTGCGCTTTAACAATCCATTCTCAATAACCAGTGAATTCCACTGAGCCCAGAGAGCTTTGAAAACGAGCCCTCTGTCCGCAATATCCTGCCACGGTGGTCTCTCGCCGTTACCTTCCTTGAGCCGTAGTATTGCTCCGATGTCTGGATCTTCCATTTGATCTTTCCTCAATTGTGTCGTCGTCCACTGTTCATCGGTTCCAAGTTTAAAACTCCTTATCATGACAGTGCCTTCACGTTGTTCCGTTTTACAGCAGTGCTTACAATCGGTTTGACAGGGTCTTCTGGATAAACCGTCTGCGTTACCATGCATTTTTCCAGCACGATGTTGGATGGTAAAGTGATACTGTTGGAGCTTCTCGAGCCATCGTGCTATTTGACCTTCAGGTTGTTTCATCTCCATAAGCCACTTGAGAGCCGCATGATCTGTCCTAATTAAAAATTCTTGGCCGTACAGATATTTATGAAAATGATCAACTGCCTTCACAATTGCTAGCAGCTCCTTCCGGGTAACGCAGTAATTCCTTTCTGGTTTGGATAGAACTCGACTGTAATATTCTATCACTCGTTCTTCGCCATCTTGCACTTGTGATAGCACTGCACCTATGCCGATATTGCTGGCGTCGGTATCCAGGATATACCTCCCTTGTTGTTGCGGGTAGGCTAGAATAGGACTTGAACATAAAGCCGCCTTAAGTCTTCCAAAGGCTACATCACAATCGGTGTTCCATTCGTAGCCGACTTCATCACCTGTAAGTCTATGTAAGGGTGCAGCTATATTGGCAAATCCCTTGACAAATCTTCTGTAATAGGTGCATAAACCCAGAAAACTTCTAAGTTCATGTTTGTCGCGAGGTTTAGGCCAATCCTTGATCGCAGCGATTTTCTTCTGATCGGTGTAAATTTCGTCTGCCGAGACTACATGACCCAAGAATTCCACTTGTCGCTGGAATAAGCTACACTTCTTCGGGTTCAAGTACAGGTGAGCATTCCGTATGCGGCCGAAGACTTCTTCTAAATTTCGCAAATGCTCCTCAAAAGTTCTTCCCATAACCAATACATCGTCGAGGTAAACCAAGCACGTTTTCCAAGTTAATCCTCTTAACACCACCTCCATGAGACGTTCGAAAGTGGCTGGAGCATTGCATAATCCAAACGGCATGACCTTGAATTGGTATAGTCCGTTTCCTGTAGAAAAAAAGCCGTCTTTCTTTTGTCTTCCTCGTCCAGACCAACTTGCCAGTATCCACTCTTTAAGTCGAGAGTGGAGAACCAGCACGAACCTGCGAGAGTTGTTAATGTGTCATCTATACGTGGCAGTGGGTAGCTATCTTTCTTAGTGACGTCATTGAGCTTCCTATAATCCACGCAGAATCGTGTACTACCATCTTTCTTCGTTACCAAAACAACAGGAGATGACCATGGACTCGATGATTCTTCGATAACTCCATCTTCTAGCATCTTATCTACCATTGTCTCCATTTCTTGTTGTTTGGAAAGGGGCACCCTTCTAGGACGTTGTCGAATCGGCTGAGCATGACCAGTATTAATCCGGTGCTTCACAAAATCCGTTCTTCCACTGTTGTTCTTCTCAAAAATACTGCCATGCTTTAGCAGGAACTGCTTGGCCTTCTGTTTCTCCTCAGGTGTTAGGTGATCCCATGGCTGTTCTAGATGTTTTAGTGTTTCTTGGGATGCCTTTTGTGTAACAGCTGACGACACTTCATCACATCGGGTGACACTTCTTACAGGTTCGCAGATGGCTATCTTGTCACCTTTTCGGATCTTGACACAATTCGGGAAAACATTCGCAATTCTGATCGGTATATTCTTGTCGGTGTTCACCAATGATTTTCCTACTAAGTACCTATCTTGTTTCTTGTCGCTACTTTGTACCATCCAACACAGCACCCAGCGATTTTCTC